CCCCTGTCTCTTATACACATCTATCGAGGCAGTCACACAGTGCTTACAACTGTCTCTGGAAGTGAAAGCACCTGAAAATAAACTAAGTCATACGCAGCTGTCATCCGTACGCATGGAAGTAAGCACAAGATGCCGAACACCCTTGACAGGATGCAGCGCACCCTTCATGCGACTCGCCGAATGCCTCACGGCGCTTCGCGCTTGGTGATGTGAGAGCCTGGTCCGGTGAGAACCCGGCGTGCTCCGTCCCGGCTTTGTAGGGATGCGAGGTCAATGGTCTAACGAATACAGCATACACCCCCCCCCCCAAATGACCCCGATTTTCGATTAGTAGGCTTATGTGTCTTGAAATTTTGTTCACGCGTACCCTTGTTTACGCGCGCACTTATCGCTCTTTAACCTTGGTCCGGGAGGGGGCCTCGCGGAGTCAATTCCGAGCGGTCAAAGTTCTCAGGGGTCCAGTAGACGTTTAGGCAATTGCTCGATAGCAGTCCCGCCTGCAGCAGACGGGCCTTGGGAAACCGACGCAGAGGGTGGTCTTGACTACTCCCCCACGACCAAGGAGCCGAACCTTCGTGGGCGCCACCATCCGATCCTGACGGCGGGGGTGCAGTCAGCACGTGGTTTGCAGCAGAGAAAAAACGAAGGTGGGTTGGGTGCGGCCACGCCGGTGCGGACAAAAGTGAAAGTCGCTAAAAATCGGCGGAAGCAGATTCCACAGAGTTTCCCACGAGTGCGGGAGAAGTCTCGCTTGCTGTACCCAAGGCTGACAGCACCACAGGAGGCTTTGCAAGCGGCCGTGGGCGAGGTTCTTGCTCTTTCTATACTCCGAAACGATGAGGCGAGCTGGGTAAGTGGTGCCTCTCGTTTGCTCACACCACAAAATTGCTCCCGGAGTGGGTGATTAATGCCCAGGACCAACAGACGATGAGGCGGGCGGCAGGGAGACCGGCCGAGACACGATCGGAAACTGCAACACCACAAGAAGCACTAGAAGAAGTAGATAGTACACAAAGGTTTCACGAGAAATTCCGAAAGGCTGGACGGTTGGCACTGTTTGGTGGGAAAATCGGCATCGGTGGAAGACCGCAATTGGAACGTCATTTCTTTCCCTTCCAGGCTCAATTTTTCGAGGTATTTGTAGAAGGCTTCCAAGAAGGAAAAATAAGACCTGGTGTGTGGAGTCTTTGCCACGAAACACTTCGGATGGGCTTCGCGACGAAGTTGAATCCGCAGGCGAGATGGGACGGCTCGGATATTGCGGGTTCCGCGGGTTTGGCCGATATGAGGACATTCGGTGCTGCCGTCGTGTTCAAAATTCGAGTCGTTTTCCAAACGCTGACGGACATTTGGGTTGAGCAAGCCAGTGCCAACAATGTAGCCATGCCTGCAAAGTTGAAAGGTGTGATCCAACGTTTGAGGCATCTTGGCCGATGTCATCCGAAGGGACTTGCGTCGACCTTTTTTCACCCCGAGCAACAGGCTCGTGTGAGCAAGGCCGATCGTTTCTGTGCTTCTCGCCTTCTCGAGTTAAACAACGTACACAGCTTGCCAATGGCCTTGCAAGGACTCTAGCGTAGCATGATGGGGTCACGATCGTCGTTTGGTTGTAGATCAGCACTCACTACGGTGGGCAAGAGCGAGATGCAGACGGGTGCAGAGTCTGCAGAACGCGCGAAACAGCCGAAGACCACCTAAGATCCGTGGAAGACACGGAAAGTAGCGTTTCTCCAGTAACCGCAGGGGGATGCGCTACCGCTCACTTGTCTGACGCCTCCCACATGCCCGCCAGGCAGCTTTCATGTCTGCCAAAGGATGCTTCCTTGTGACCTGCTCGTCGTCACACAGTTGCTCTGACGACACCGGAACCCGCTCAAATATATCATGCAGGTATCTTCATTTTCGCATCCTGACGCTTAGAATCGTGGTGCAAACACCACGGCAGTCATAAGTAGCGCCTTGGAATGCAGAATATATTCCCGAAACGCCTCGCTCGTGCGCACTCCAAAATTACGTGTCGTGATTTTTCCGCTCTTGGCCGTGATGCACAAGAAATACTGCGAAGGCAATACACAGGTTGAACATCCAAAGTCCACGACGGGGCACGCCTCTGGAAATTGAGTGCCCCTCTGGGGGGTGTGGGGGGGGGTGTACTCATAGTCGTGCATGCCGAAGTCGTTAGACCATTGACCTCGCATCCCTACAAAGCCGGGACGGAGCACGCCGGGTTCTCACCGGACCAGGCTCTCACATCACCAAGCGCGAAGCGCCGTGAGATATTCGGCGAGTCGCATGAAGGGTGCGCTGCATCCTGCTAAGGGTGTTCGGCATCTTGTGCTTACTTCCTTGCGCACGGATGAAAGCTGCGAATGACTTAATTTTTTTTCTGGTGCTTGCACTTCCAGAGATAGCAATAAGCACTGTGTAACTGCCTCGAGGATGCGTGAACATTTCAACACGTGCCCCTCAGGGGGGAGCCAAAGATCTTTTTCTGCTCTAGAGTGTTCAACCTCTACTGTTTTTGGAGTCGAGAGAGCGGCCCCAGGTTTGTTTCAGATGCGAAGAATACTCCCTGCCAACCAAAACTTCATTACCAAACTCGTGGCCTAGCGTTTGCACGACGTGCGAAACCTGTCTGTTTGCCGGGCAGAAGAATACGAGAAAGTGCCATGTTGTTTCCACTGCTACACGGTGCAAGGGTAGTCTGGATACGACAGGGCACGTTAAGGAGTATTACCGACCCCCCTCGAGTATGTACCACTAGGGCATTGTAGTGGCCCTTGACAATACTCAGGCAAAAACTCTGCGGTAAGGTAATGAGTTCCCTCTCCTCTGCTTCAATGTGGAGGCTGCTAGCTGTGGCCCAATGGTTGCCGCTACCTTCGCCCAGCGTTGGGGGGATTGGAGGTTATCCAACAACAGAGGTCGGGGGGAGCACTGCTGTATGAACAGAGAGAACTAATCGTAAAATGTTCTCTGGTGCAAACTGATGGGGCAGTCCAGGTGCCCACGTCCACGCCACAGCTGGCTATTAAGTACGAGGTGTGGCACGAAGGTCAA